AAAAAAAAAAAAAAAAAAAAAAAAAAAAAAAAAAAACTTTATTTTCAATAAAAAAAATCTCAAAAACTCTTCTAAATAATTTCATATTCTATCTTACCACCGATATCTTCCCATTTGGGAGGGAGATTGAAGTTGCTACTCTTTCTTTCTTGTTCATGTGCCCTTTTAAAGAGCCATTGAAGAATCTGCCATCACACACCAAAAGAGATATTAGCTTTGATGTGAACAATGCATGCTGCAGATTCCACTATATATATTATCATCATCATCATATAGCAAGCATATATACCTGCATGCCTACAGTGGATGCTTTGTTCCCACTTTTTATAATATATATATTTTTTGTCTGTGCTTGTGGGTATGTGTGATGACTGTATCAGTCAAATGAACAGCACTGCATATCTATCTGTGCTGTCTGGATGCCAAAGATTCCTGTCTAGTCTATGAGGCCTTTGGTAAGATAAGACAAACAAATTTGCAGTGAATCTAAGGATGATGGTGAGACAACCAGGCTGTGAGTGGGGAATAGTTGGCTTCTGATTCGTAGTAACATGGGGCTTATTATATAGATCATGATCAAGTGGCACATATTAAGATAAAGGACATTAAATACAAACCAACATGCAATGAACAGATAAAAAGTTGTTTTAGTTTAATTAATCAGTAGTTTTTATTTGAATCTTAAATATATATTTATATTAAATATTTGAATTGAGAATTTTGGTGTCTACAGAAATTTTACTGGGTTCGAGAATGATTATCTCTATTGTAAAATACTTTTAGTCTATACCAAAAATAAATATAAAGGACTATTTAATTAAGAAGCAACATGTTTCAGTTCAGCTTACGAGGCAATGTTCTTAGCCATACATTTTCTTTTGTGTCTGTGATTTGTTTGGACCCATCTTTAAGGGCCACCAACATTAGAGATTTACTTAATAAGGTAGTTTCAAATGAAGATGAAGTAAGTATAGTGTGGATTGGTTAATGTTGCTTTAAACAAAAGCTACATACAATATATGGTAAAAGTAAAAGACTGGAATGATTATTGCCTCAATCATTTTGGCTTCGGTTAAGCAAGATTAGTAATTTATGATCTCGATTTTAATTTCATAATAATTACTTATCTTTTCAGCTATGCTTAAGTATCAATATGGCTTTTAAGGTGTACGAATCTATGTTTGTTGGAGAAAAATACTATAAATACACTATCGAATACACTTTTCTACATATTCTTTATTGATGATATGTAAATACTTCAATATTTTATACACTTTTATCCAACACTTATTACTTTTCGTTATTTCTATTCTATTATATATCATTTATTATATTTATATTTCTCTTCACCCCCTCTCTAGGTGTTAATTAGTATTGGAGTCCACCTATTTTTTCTTATTTGTTATTGGTGGAAAAAGGTTTATCACTTTGGCAATAGGACCACTAAATAGAAAGCAAGACTTACATATCAATTAAGGTCTATGTAATATATTATCGGTATAAAATATTTACTCGACTAATTATTTTTAGTGGAATTTTTTTTAATCACGTTTCTTTATTCATAAGATTTTAACTTAAAATTTTATTTAAAAAAATTGAGTTAAGTAACTTGAATCTATAATTTATTGGTGGATCGATATAAATTTTAACCAAATAAAAAAAAATATTCTATAATTCTGATATGTCACATAACTATATTTTTAAATATAAAAAAAAATTGATAAAAATATAAAAAATTGACAACTTCCTAATTGTATAATAATTTTTAGTATGTAAATAGTTTTAAGTTGAAACTCTATTTTTAGTTATAAAAAATTATTACATAGAATATCGTTAATATTTATTTTTCCTGAAATCCATGCCATAATACATCACAACTTTGGTAAACATTGGATACTCAATCATGGAAAGCAATTATATGCTTCCAGGAAATTTATGTAAACAATAAACAATGCACTCTGCAAAGAGAGAAGAGAAGGATAACACATTTTTTAAAACCAAAGCTCCTTACTAGTGACGTAGATAAATAGAACACCAACAACACATTTTATTCAATAGTACTTTATATCGAAAGTGCCCAATATTTTGGGGGTGGCACATGGAACTAGAACATAAATTTTGATTAAGAAACAAAAATTTGTCTGCACATGTTGTTTGGTGGTTTCAGCATGGTGTGTATGCGTAATGTATGAAAAGAAAAAAGTTACTTTAACATACGTATATATATTGCAGTTAAGCATGTGGGGACGTTGCAGAAGATATCTTTGCCAACGGTGAATTCCTGTGGGTACAAATTAGGGAACCATCAGTGTCACATGGGTGAGCTAGGCACCATAATTTAAAAGTTTAATTTGGGATCTAGAAAGTAGAAAGTATAAACCCTGTTTCTTAAATGCTATCCTTTTTTTTTTCTTTTCTTAATGCTTTTACTTGAATACATTTGTATTCATATAATATGATATATTTTTAGTTTTGGTTTCTATAAAATTAGTTTTTCTAAAAATGATTTTGTAATTTTGTAGCTTTTGTTCTTAATATATTTTATGTATTAATGTTGAATAATTTATTTTTAGTCTCTACTAATTTTGTTTCACAGGAACTAGCTTAAAATGAACAAAGTGTTATAAGAACTAAAATGAAAATAATGATATGCATAAAGATTAAAATAAAATAATGAAAACCAAAATAAAAGTAATTGTAAGTTTTACAATAATTATTTTAAAAAATAGTTAATAAGGACAAAAATTATAAAAAAAAAAAATAGTATATTATAAAAACTAAAATATATTTAAACCAACAAAAATTTTGTACTTGATAATAACTTCCTCTTATTTTTATTTAAACAAATTAAAATAAATAAAAAGAAAGTATATAATTACATATACAGTGTATCTTAATTTTAATGGAAGAAATGACAAAACTTTTGGTGGTTGATCCCCCCTTCAATACTGAAAATTTCTTATGGGAGAAAGATGCATGTAAAGAAGGAGATGAATGTATTAAAAAATTTACCATTTGATTCTTTTGTGTGTATCTATTCTACAAGAAATTTCGAGTATCCAACACAATACACACTCAAACTTCTAGTCTTCTCTTTTTTCTTCGTTGGATTTGATAAGACATTATTAATTATCTCGTGTCACTTTGCCTAACTTTTTATGAAAAATAGTTTAACAATAATATCTAGAGATGTTGGAAAGAGTATTTAAATACGATTTTATTTTTCATTTGCATGACAATCATATTGTTAATTAACAATAATGTACATCAGGTTCGAATTTTCTGTTTGATTTAATCATGACTTGAGTTCTATTATCTTATTTCTCTTATTAGTAAGCAATGTGTATACTTCACTTCTCTTCTCCTGATCTATATTTTTAATTAATATAACTTTACTTAAATTGTTAAACAGTATTAATTTGAATGTATTCAGATTAAAATGAATGTTGAATTAATTATTTATAAAATAGTTTAGTTAAATGAATATTATTTTAAAAATTGAGTTTAAATGGTTAAATGGTAAAATTGATTTAGAAAAAAGTAAAATAAATAAATAATTTAAGAATAATTAACCAGAGAATAAATATAAAATATAAATGTATAAAGGAAGAAAGAGATAAAGACGATTTAAGTAGAATGGAGAGAAAATAAGAAATTAACTAAAATGTGATATCAATGATAAATTTGATAATGCCAAAAAAAAACCAATTTACTTAATATTTGACATTTCAATAAAATGACTGATGTTTCAAGTTTTATATATATTATAATGAATAATATTATATTTCCTACATTTTTATCAAATATTATATTTAATGTCTTAAAAATATATTTATTATGTAAAAGAAGTAGAAAAATTAGTGAGAAAAAAATATACGAACATTTTAGATTTATTTTAGGATAGTTTAATTACACTTTTTATCTTTCTCTAAATTTAAATTCTTTAAATAGATCTGGCACCGTTCTGTTTTGGTTTTTTTATTCATATCGTGACACCGTTTGAAGGAGGAAAGAAGAGGGGTGGCCCGTGCACACTGGGTTGAGCCAGGCCTGTACAGTCAACACATAAATAATTTGATTCCATCACCATATTGAAACCTTTTCACACATCCAATCCAACACACAACACAACCCTATATAAATTAAAATGAGCCATTTTCAACAGTTAATTAATTTCTTATGTTGTCAGACTTAAATATATGTTATGTTTTCATAAATATAATGATTTTTAATTTTAATTTTCTATTTTTTTTATTTCTTTAATATTTCTGTTTTGGTAACCAATACTAAACATTCAGCCTAATATGTTAACTTAAATTTATCTGATAAACGGTTAAATAGTGTTAAAACTTTCTAAAAATTTGTAAATTTCATTTATTTATTATCAATTTAAGTTGAATATAAACAATAAATTATTGAATGAAATAACTTTATTTATAATTACTTTTAAAATAAGTAAACCTCTCATTATACATACTCATACACACACATATATATATATATATATATGTGTGTGTGGGTGTGCGCGCGCACGCGTGCATGTATTGTGCGTGTAGAGAATGATCAAATGACATTAGTGTAGCTTTTACTATTACATTGTTCAATTACTTTATATTATATTTAAATTTTATCGATTCAAACGTTGAATTAGAACTTCATATCATCTTATACGTTTATGTCAAATTTTGTTAAAATTGAACAATCATTTGAAGGAAATCTAATTATTCTTGTTTTAATATTTTTTAAAATGTATATGTTACGTCAATTTCGATCTGTATGAATGAGATATCAAATCATCTTAAATTAATATAAAATTTTGTATATATGATCTAAAAATAAGGAACTTTGAATCTAATGGTAAGTTTTAAAAGATTCACATATAATATAAAGTTATTAAGTGATGTATTAATGTAGTGGTGACCTTGAGCACATTCAAGGTAGGCGATTGTCGGGGGCTTCATTTTTAGAGGACCACCTATTTTTTTTATAGTGTATATAAATGTAAAAATAAATTTTACATTATTAAACTATATAATAAAAATATCATACAAAATAAATTATTCACCAATAATTAATCAATTGATAGGTAATGTTTTAATTTCTCAACAAAAATCTATCCACAATTTTGAAAAAATAAATCAATGATCTTAAATGTAAAGAGGAAAGTGTGATAAATAATATATTATTGATCGTGATCTCTTCTACTTTTCTAGAATTTCAAATTCTCAATTAATATGCAAAACTTTGTTTGTTAGTCGCTATGAACTTCTTTGTGACGTGTGAGTGGTTCATCCGTAATTGATCTTTTTCGATTAAACAAATTGAGATTTCAAGTTTAAAAGTAAGCAATCAGGAACTATTGTTTCATCTCAATATCATTTATTCATGAAAATCTCTTTATTTTATTCATAGATTATAATTTTGGTTTTTTTTTTGTCTTTACTAGTCAAATTATTTGAGTTTGAACTAATGAAAAAAATATAAACTCTTATCATACAAAGATCAAATAGATGCAAAATTATAACATATTATCATATAATTATAGAAAGAATGAAAGAATAGAATTTGTACACCTTGTATATAGAATTGGTTT